CCCCAAAACCCCAAAACCCCAAAACCCCGTATAAGGATCAAAACTTTGAAAATAAATAAATAAATTTCTCTGAAAATAATTATGGATAGTCTTTGTTCTGCTGAAATTATAAAGGCTAAAGAATCGCTAGATATTACCAAAAAAGGATATAAAGATGTAATGTATCTTGATCCATCTAAAGGAATGGTTACTTTGAGGATAGTTGCACCTGGATTCAGCTCATCAGAAGCTGGCTGCTCAAGTCTGGCTCCATTTGATTCCGTCTCTTCTGGCTATACAATTTACAAGATGACAAACAGAGTTATCGAAATTGAGTATAGAGAAGAAACTTATACCAATGGAGACTCATACGCTGGGGATGTCAAAGTCAGCAATGGCAAAAGACATGGTTATGGCCAGTATAAATGGGCTGATGGAAGAAGATATGAAGGCCAATGGAAGGATGGGACCATGGAAGGACAAGGGACTAGATGGTATTCCAATGGAGATCATTATAAAGGAAAGTTCATGAATGATAAGATGCATGGACAAGGTGTATACACTTGGAAGAACGGAAGAATTTATGACGGAAACTGGGTGAATGATAAACAGAATGGCCATGGGGTCTTCAAGGGAATAGATGGCTACTGCTATGAAGGATACTGGGAAGATGGAAAAAGAGAAGGCAGAGGTACTGTGTATCACTCAGATGGAGACATCTATGTTGGAAACTGGAAAAATGACGAATACAATGGCCATGGAGTATATATTTGGAAGAACGGCAGAACTTATGAAGGAGCTTGGGAAAATGATAAACAACATGGCTATGGAGTCTTCAAAGGTCTCAATGGACACAAATACGAAGGGTATTATAAGGAAGGCAAGGAAAATGGAAAAGGAACAGAGTATTATGATAATGGAAATAAGTATGAAGGAGACTTCAAGAATGGTGTCCGCTGTGGTAAGGGTTTACATACCTGGAAAGATGGCAGAACATATGAGGGAGAATTTTCTGATGGTAAAATGAATGGATATGGAATCGATAAATATACAAGTGGAGATCATTATGAAGGTAACTGGAAGGATGATAAAAGACATGGACAAGGTACATACTATTGGAAAAATGGAGACACTTATGAAGGCCCTTGGGAGGATGGAGATAGACATGGAATTGGAGCCTTTAATTCCAAAGATGGAAAGAGAACTCTTCAAGAGTATAAGAAAGGAAAATTGCTGTAAGTCTCAAAACTTGAAATTGCAATTCAGGTTATCCTTTCGATTTTAAAGGATATTTTGACCTCAGATGATTACTCAATATATTGGCCTTGTCACGGGGTTTTGGGGTTTTGGGGTTTTGGGG